TTGAGTGCAAGCTTGTTAACCCCCATCCAGACCCTAACAGCCTCGAGGCACTGGCACATCACGTCAATCGCTTCAGAGTTGAAGCGGGATGAAGGCAACTTGAGTTTATGGGCAAAGGGGAATAAAATTTGCATTATAAAAGGTAAGTAAAGACAAAGCTTTTCCCTGTCCACTCATGTATGACTCTAGGGGGCAGTGCTCATCTCCATTTCCTAGCTGAGGGAGCCAGCATTGTCCAAAGACACTTCCCTGGTCATGTGGCCAGCATGTCAAAGTCACACAGAACACTATTACCTTCTCACCAAAGTTGTACCTATTTATCTATTCGCATTGGCATGCTTTCAAACTGCTAGATGGGCACCCCCAGAAGAGAATTGTTATCATCTCTTTCCTGCTTAACAAAATCTACCTTTTCTACTCTCCCTATGTTCTTGCTTGAACTACCTTTCAAAATATCTATGGTTAATTATTTTATATCCCTACTCATGATGCATCCTTCTTTGAGCAGCCTTGGTAGAATCTGGTATTATTATTGCATGCCACCATGTCATGTAGCCAAAATGTTGTAAACTGCCTGATTCCTTTCTGTCTTCCCCATCATTAGGTTTTCCCCTTCCTCAAGTGTTCCCCTGATGATGTTAGCTTGCAAGATCCTCACACTGATGCTTCCATAGACTGTGTAGTCCACAAAGGAATTTGGAGAACTAAGTTGCTCTACTCTACTGTATTTATAAGACCTTGCTTGAATGCTCTAAAACTTTTATTTTGCTCCTTGTGTTTCCTCTGGCATTTACATGGATGTAAAAGAAAATATTTTCCGCAAAAGAGGAAGAGGTATATTATGGGCTATGGAAGTTCATGTACAACTACAGATGTCTTGCCCTTGTTCTGCAGAACAGTGAGGTGAGTATCCATCAAATTCTGCTTCTTCTTAAGTGGATATCCTATCCTTTCAATCACAAGCACAGCTCAAGAGAGCCCAACACACTAACCATAAAGCTGCAGAGTGGAAAGAATGCAATACTCGTAAGGCAATGCCATTACAGACTCAATAAACAGCCAATTAGTAAGCACTTGAAAATCAGTATTGTATAGTTCCTTCCCATTATTATAAGTTGTGTTTTTTCCACTCTGTTCTCTGAGTTTCTTAAAAGGCTCTGCACACCAACATTGCTGTAGCTGTTTTCAAAGATACAGCAATCATCTGTTCAGAAAACATAGGAGGGGCGGGGGAGAGTGGATTTTCATAGTTTAATTCAAAATTAGAAGAAAAATTCCAGGAAAGATTAACTAAGATCATCTGGAACAGGAATAAAGATTACTCTTTACCTAGATATGTTTTACCTCTGTTGGAAAATGCAATGAATACCTACGCTTTTACATAACAGGGAGCTACCTTGGCACATCATATCTTTCCATTTGACCCGGATGATTTATTGGTTTAGCAACTATACCTGCAGGACTCTGCTCATCCACTGAAAGCTGTCTTCTTCGGTAGAATCCGGTCTCTGCTCAGCCACAATGACTATTCGTTCATCATGAAGGACACTCACTGAAAATACTGCTATCCTGTGGGATGTGCAAACCAAGACATTTGCTGTTGGATAAAAAGACTAAGAGCCGAGCAATTCCTTTTCATGATTTTTGTGTGACTCAGTTCTCATTAGTTATGCAACAGAGAAGATTAGAGCCCAAGTTCTTTATTTCCTCTAGAAGACATCTGCACTGAACACCTACATAAGTTTAAAATAGAGCACTAACTGGAACAACTATTATAAAAGCAAGCTATGTTGGCTCTCCATAGAGTAATGCACCATCATTGCAAACAGTATTTCACTCTGAATACATTCAGAATAATATTTACTAACTGAGGCAAAGAAAATAAGCATAACAAAGTCACTCCTGTCTATGTTTTTATTTAGAGAAATGAAAATATGCAAAGTTGTTTTCATTTGTAGCATTCCTGCTTTGAAATTCCTAAAGAGGTTTGCCGGATAGCCATTTCGATGCCAGATTAAAGTCTTTTTCCCAGATGCTTATACTGGTTCTATTTGCAATTGATTTTCATCTATTTTTCTCTCTCTAAATGTTTTACTAGGGGTTGTTTTATTTATGTTGCATTAATTTGTCCTTAAGCAGCCCCGAATATTATTTTAGATAAGTTATACAGCTGCCCATGTTACAACTTTAGCAATATCAGGAAGCAAACAATGTTAAAACTACAAACAATAAACAGAAAATGTATTAATAGCTGCTGAGGACAACAGACACAAAAATAATGCATTCATATTATGGCTCCCATTACCATAGGTATTAACTGTAACTTACTCATATGGTGCCATATTGTGAGAGGCGAGGCTGCGTCAATAATGGCCCACAGCTGTGTTGCTGTTGTCCTGCCCCTTTAAGCCTTCTCCCAGCCAGCACAGCGCCGGCTGCTATAAAAGCAGTGCTGGGAGAGAGCTGGGCGTATTGCTTTTTGTGTGTGGGAAGAAGTGGGTGGAAGTTCATGTGGGGAAGAAACATAGCCTGAAGAAGCTAGGAAGAGATATTATCTTCTAGTAGTAGGACTTACAAGAAATAGTTGAAGGAAAGAAACAAAATATAATAGCTATGGGGAAAAAGATTAGTGGTGGGCAGTTGAAGGAAAGAAACGAAATATAATAGCTATGGGGAAAAAGATTAGTGGTGGGCAGAGAATACTAGCTTGTGAATGCTTATGTGTATATTACCTTATCTTACTGGGCTGGCTTTTGTAAGCTTTGGAACTTTCTGACTATAATCCATGACATAGGGCGTGATATTCAACAAGGAGGAAACCATACAAGCGAAGGTAGCTTAAACTTCATTAAACATTTTACGGAAAGAAAACAAACTTTGGCTGAAAGGGAGCTGCAAAAAAGGGAGGAGTTGGGCTCTCATTTAGCAGGAATTAGCCAGCTGCTGCCTGCCGAAAACCGGCTTCATACCAGAGCCTAGAACAAACAGACATCGGCAGAAGGGATAGATACTATTATTACTTTAGAAGAGAATCTAATTGCAGTAAAGGTTACTACTTTAGTAGAAAGTAGCTAATAATAAAGCAGAAAATAGACCAGCCAGGAATACCTGGGCTAATATCACAGAGATGTTGGGCTTAATTAAAAGAGGACATTAAATAAAGGCTTTTTAGTAAAAATTAATGTATGTTGGCTAATCTGTTTGCAAATAGTAAGGTTATCTAAGATTTCTCTGAGCAAGGGAAGCACTCTTTCTATATCCTATTTTTAAAAATCCTCATGGGAAGAAATGGAAACCTACCTTCCCCTGTAGACAAACTTCATTGGCTCCACTGCCAATGCTGTAGCTACAATGTCATCTGCATTGTGTCTCCTCCCACTGACAACCATCAGACCATCCATTTTACCAACCACAAAAACAAGCCCTCCAGGGCCAATGAACCCAAGAAGTCCAGTTCTTATAAAGGGATATTCGCTTATAGGGGCACCTGAAGTAGTCATTGGGAACACCTAGAAGAAAAACAGAGAAGTGAGGGTGGAAAGAAGCTTCATTTTTAGGATATTTAGATCCTTCTAGCAGCATATATTAAAATTACTACACATGAACTATAACTCCCTTTCTATTTCTCCATGGGAACACTAATACTATGTTTTGTACACCCATTGAATTAAACAATGATTTACTTCAGCATGTGGCTTTTTTCCACAAATTATTTTTTTATTTTTGCTATATAAAGAAAGAACAACAATTTCAATATCTATATAAACAGTGTGTTGTCTGGTTACAGTTAGTTTGAGCAATAAACCATCATCATCTCTCATAGCAAGATTAGTCCTCTTATAATTTTAAACATTCTAAGTTCTGTTTCTGTTAGTTAACCATTGATAAAACAAATCCCATATTTCAAAATATTCTGTGTCTTCCTTCTCTTTCATTTCAAGTGTTAGTCTGTCCATTTCTGCATATTGTAGTATTTTTTTTTATTATCTTCTGTTCTGTAAGGATCTCCACACCTTTCCAATGCTGTGCAAATACAGTTGTAGCTGCTTTTAAAACATGTAGTATTAGATGCATAGTCCCTTTATTATATTTTTCTGGTATAATATCCAACAGAAATATTTCTGGTTTTAGGTTTATATGTTCCTTTATCATTTTTTTCTATTCAAGTATGTATTTTGGTCCAATATGCTTTCACCTTTTGTGCTAGTACAAACCAGGAATCTAACTGCACTTCAACATTTAGCAGACATATCTTGCAATATCTTAGCTAGTCTTGCTCGTGAGAAGTGCTTCACCATGTGTTGTTGAAGTTATAACATAATAGTTATAACATAACAATATATACTGTGAACGATAATTTATAAAAATGTGTTGGTTTATACAACACCCTAAAGCATAATCAAGCAAATCATAAAAATGCTCAATCAGAATTAAAGAGCTGACTGGTCAAATATGACTTCTTCTGTATTTTGGAGTCCTCTAGAGCTGCAAACTCCACATGTCAAGTCACTGTTGGGAATGATTGGAGAAGACTATAATGGCCCAACTTAATAGAAGTGCAGCCTCACAAATGAATCATTGCTATGAATATGAATCCGAAAGGTTTTTTCTTTTCTTTTAAATGAAGTTAACAGTTTACCAGCTTACCTCAAATGTATTTTTGGTCATTCCAGAGAGTCCATAATAAGATGTACCTGTAGCAATAGCACATACACAGAGTTCACCAACTTCATCTGTTCGGCAGAGTTGAGGAACTCCATCTGGTTTGACAGCACACATTATGGCTATTGGTGGGGAAAAGAAAAGAATAGTATTTTTCCTAGTGCTGAGTAATAGACATTGGCAATGTCAATTCACAGAGTTGTTGTTTTGGAAAAACTAGGAAGGGGAAAGCAGTATGCTGCCTCGACTGCCAAAAGAATTAAAGGCAGGATAAATCTAACATAATCTTCAATTCAACATACGACACCGAATCTGGGTTAACAGGGTTATGGGTTGTTTGATTTTAAACTGTCAATCATTAGATTGATCCAGATTCATAACCAGAAGGCACTAGAAAACTGATTCTAGAAATAGCAGTAGAAATTAGGTGTTTGTATCTCCTCAGTGACTGGAAAGAAAACATATTTTATATTTTAAAAAATACTGGGCTTCTTGGCTCCCCTCCTTCCCCCGCTTTTTTCTAACTCTTGGAATGGAAGCTCACTGTGTCATGCACTTGAGTCTTGAACTGGCAACCATTGGTCTTAACTGCTAAGCTATTGCGCCCTATTAAAAATGCTAAAAACCCATCCAAGTTAAATATACATAGAAGCAAGGTATTTAGCTTGTTAGCAAGGTACATAGCTGGAAATAGGGCCCTTGGCATATTCAGTATCTTAGGCTTTAGGGCACATGATCAGGCTTTTAGGTTCTTACAAAAAGCTAACAAGGTTGGGACCATTCTGATTTCCAAAGGGAGGAAATTCCATACAGCAGAGGGGCAGCTGTAGAAAAAGCTTGTTTTTCTGGGCCCTACCAACTGACATTCTATGTAAACATACATAGATGGAATCTGCATTATATGCATTCTTTTTAAAAAAAAATTTTTTTGTTTATTATATTTTCACATTACGTACATAAGTGCTTAGTGAACAGAATATTGTCTGGATCAATTTATTTTTATACAATAATACTCTTCCCACTCCTAATTTCTACCTCTACTGTCCAACCATTTATAAAGCAAGTCCCATGTTTGAAAATCCTCTGTATCTTCTTTTTCTTTTATTTTTAATGTTAATCTATTCATTTCTGCACAATCTAAATGTCTTTTAATGACATCATTCATTGTGGATATGTCCTCATTTTTCCAGTCATATGCCTTCTTTTTGAGGCAGTCGGATGGATAGAGTCTCTTTTTAAAAAGGCAATTCCTTGGATATCCTGAGAAGAAGGGCCTTATAGCACCTTGAACTTCACTTGGAAATACCGAAAACCCCAACTCCTGCTTGAGCTGCACTGGTTATGTGTGCCATCATATATGGCACCATTTACAATCTATGCTCTGCATTCTGAATTGGTTGAAGTTTCCTAACAGTCTACAAGTCAGCCTCATGTAGACCATACTACAGTAGTTTAACCTGCTGATTATAAAGGCCTGGATTACTGTGATCAGGGCCGCCTGGTCTGGGTACGGGTGCAACTGGCGTACCACCCAGAGGTGTGGAAAGGCTGCCTTGACTCTGACTGCCACTGGCTCTTCAAGCAGGCGCCAAAAGTCCAGGATGACCCTCCCAGATTGTTCACACAGAGTCTGTTTGGGACAGTACAATGCCATTCAGAATCAGAGATGGAAGATCCTCATCTTCAGGGTTCTCTTCATAGCCACTCTGTCTTGCTAGGATTGAGTTGGAGACTGTTTCTCCCCATCCAGTCCCCAATAGCTCTATCTGGAGTAAGCAGATGGCTATATATCTCAACCCAAACCGATGGATCACTTCACCTAGCAGCCTCATGTAAATATTAAAGGGAAGAGAGAGAGACCAGAGTCCTGAAGCCTCCCCCCACTTAATATTGGTCACAAACTATCTATCTATCATCTATCATCTATCTATCTATCTATCTATCTATCTATCTATCTATCTATCTATCTATCTANATCATCTATCATCTATCTATCTATCTATCTATCTATCTATCTATCTATCTATCTATCTATCTATCTATCTATCTATCTATCTATCTATCTATCTCAACTGGACTAGGTCCCGAGTAAGAAGAACCAGCACAATACAGTGCTGCCCACCTCCAGTTCCTAAGTAGACCCAGAAGGATACCATGACTGATGGTATTAGTGCCACTGAGAGGTCAAGAAGAACCAGGATTTATGCATTACCTCCATCCCGCCAGAGATGTTGCAGAAATATGGTGCAGAGAAGATACAGAAGATAGAAAAGTTAATTCCCCTAGGAAAATTAACACTAAGGAATTAAATAAAATAATGAATGCAGTTCATGTTCGACAGCTAAACCTGTAAGAATAAGTAATTCTGGGGAAGAATAAACACATTCTTTAGTCTTAAGAAGAAATGGCATAATCAAGAAAGAAGTCTTCCAAAGTCGAATTCCAGACTCCTGGTTATTCTTCCACCCTGTTAAATATACCTTGTTGTAACACTCCTCTTTCCAATCTTGGGCATAAAAAAGAAAGTGACCATATATGACTCCTGATGGATTGCTAACTACAGTTAACCCCAAACAACACAAGTTTAGGCATGGGAAAGCCGCCAACATGACAGGGCTGGAAGGGAACCAGAACAAAATGCTTTTGTAACTGGCTTTTTTCCAATGGGAACAAGACATAGAATCTCAATCCTACAAAATTATGTAATGAATCTATATCAGATTTATTAAAAAGTTATTTGCTGCAAAAGTTTGAAGAAAACAAAACTGTCTTGTTATGGGTAGATCATACTTAGGATAACATTCTAAAATGCCCCCTAGGAGATCATTTATGTACATGTTTAATGGAGAAAGAATAATTTTAACTGTCAAGGGTGGTATAAGCTAAACCACAAAGTATATCGAAAAATGAATACTAGCTTTGAGGAAATAGTGTCTCTGTGAATACAACTTTCTTTAAGGCAGTGCAACCTTGGCAAATCTAAGATTTATTGATTTTAATCTTGGAATTTCCCCATCCACCATGCATTAAGAGAAAAACAATGCAAATGTCATACATTTTTTTGAGTAAGCTTATAGAAGCCTTACCTCCAGGCATCACCAAACCAACATCTTGCACTGTTAGAACAGAAAGCTTTTCTTCTGAATCCACTCTGATTACTCCATAAGTAAGCCCGTGCATTGATAGTACTCCCCTTCCAGGTGGTTGGTTGCTGTCATCTGTTGGTCTGGAAATGTATGGAAAATGTCAATCATGCCAGCAACTCTCATTTCATATATGTGATGTGCTTGGTAATAATGCCAAGCTTGAGTGACCTCTATAGAAATATTTATTCACTTCATCAGCTCTTGCAGGAAGCGGAGGCTCTGGCTTCCCTTCCATTAAATAATATTTTGTTGGGCTCCAGAATTGTGCCTTTTAGCATATGTCCTGTTGAACAGAATATTATGAGATAGCTTCAATACTGTTACCCTTTTGTTGCAAGACTTGGCATTTCCCCCATGCCCTTGATCCCCGTGAGATATGATGGTTGAACAAATGTTTGTACTGACAAATAGGGTGGGGTGGGGGGAAATAGAGGGTGTATAATGCTCCTTCCTCCTCCTATTGTTACTCCAAGATTGTTTCCATTAAACTTCACTGCCTTCAGGATTTCACATTTATATTTGACTCTACAAACCTTCTAATAGCCACCGTTAGAGCCTCTGGTGAACTAGCACAAGGACAGATGACTTCTTGTCTTAGGCCTTTACTTTGGAAGACATTTAGAAATGCATCACACGAAGAAATAGACCCTGGAGTTAAAAAGTACACAGACAATAATATCATTCTATGTGCAATAATCAATAGTTCCTCACAACAAAACAGAAATTCTAAATAGGAGGTTCCCAAAATAGAAATCTAGATGCCAACCAACCAATAAATTCACCGAGTGATTGTGAATAATTGACCTGTGGGTTGAAATCTATAGATGTCCCTAAAGCGAGTCTCTAACATACCAACCCTCATTTCAACTTCTTTTGTCCAGAGGAGAAGATTGAAATGCACTGAGTATACTTCTGCCCCCAAATGCAACTAGCTCTTAAGGCTAACTGAGTCGCTATTGTATAATCAAGTTCTTTATATACAATAGAATAAAACTATGAGCAGAACCAAATATTACTCTGGAAATTACATTTCCATTGCAGGATATTACTTGTACTGGGTACATGAAGATCACTCCATTTTGTACAGAATTTCATAAATGACTTCAAAAAAAATATTTGTATTCCCTTTACTTCTAATAATTGAATTTCAGTTTTCATTTTGTATCATGTAAGGTCAGACATGTCACAGTATAAAACATACAGATCATGTCCAATTAAAATCAATTACTTTCAAAAATCTTTGAAATCCTGGTTACTATATATTTCCTATATAATACACTGGTTTCGAGTTTTGCAGCCATTGATAAAAACCTAAAACCCAAAATATTTGATGTGAAGTAGTCAACACTGTCCATTATGAATAGAGGATCTTAGAACCTGAAAATTCTAAGGACAGTAACAGGGAAAAAGGTTGTCTCAGTGCTGTTCCTTTATTACTTTTTGCACCAAGTAAAAAATTGGGTTCCCCCCCCCCCAGATACCACTGGAGATTCAATCAATTTCAGTTTAATTTTCTAACTTGCTTTTGGATCATGGTTTCAATCTACTTTAAAAAGTTAATATTCATATAAGCTGCCTTGGATCTCAGTTTGGGATATTTAAAATTGTAAAATTTTACGTGATCAAATATGGTTCATGGTTTTTATGCTTGTCTTTGACCAAGCAAAGAAACCATCCCAATCGATACCTAGTTTCAACTGATTTCTGACAAACCTTCAAGCTCTTTTCTACTTTCAAGGAGAAATTTGCCAAATTATATAAAACTACGCTGCCTTAGCTTATAGTACTGTGAAATATTGGATTTGCTTTACGATATCACTAAAGAAATGAAACTTTGAAATATAATTTCATCGTGTATTATTTGTTCCATACTTATCACTCACATGGATTGGCGCCATCAGCCACTATCAACATTCTAAGTGAAGAGAGGTTGATATCACGTTGATCTCTGTGTGCTACTAATGCCCAGTGCATATCCCTGGATTTTACACAGGCTACTTTTGCTGAGAGATGTAAAAGAAAGAGAAAAATGACCAATGAATTAAGACAACATTCCACTAAAGAATGCAATAAACAATCAAAGATATTTAAGATATAATTCCACTACTAAATGTCCATAATATAGAAAGTATGGCCAATTAGCAGAAAAATTAGATTTCAATTTGGAGTTTCAGTTTTTATAATATTACAAGCCAATCTTTCATAGATTGAATGTGAAAAAGGTGCCAGAGAGATGACTTCTATTTTGCCAGTTTAATACAATAAATCCCACCTCCTGCTCCCACAAAGTAGATTGATGTAGCCTTCACCCTTACCTTTGTACTGGCACACTTTCTGTATCCATGAAAGTGGGTTCACTTTCATTAAGGAATACGGGATGCTTATCACATGCATCATGTTCATAACACTCTGAAATTAAAGCAAGGAAATAGAGGTATCAACAGTGAAGAAAAAATTATCAATTAGGGCTCCAGGTTAATTGACAATAGTCATGTTTTCAAGGCCTTTTATCATGAAAAAGGTTTTTATTTTCCATTTTTTCATTTTCATACACTCACATATATACTGTGCATAGCCGGAGCCATACAACATTAAACAAT